ATATTTGATTCATTAGCACTGGGAAGGAATCTGAGAACCTACCTGGGTTATTATTATCTTCCAGGAGCCAAGCACAGCTACAGCAAGTAAAAAGTGGTTGAGATCCAGGGAGGTTTAAAGATTTGTCTAATCACAGCTATTAAGAGGCAAAGCCAATACTCCAGACCAGACCTTCACAGTCACTTTATCTCCCCAAGTATCAGCTTCCTCATCTCTTAAAAATTAAAATGAGCATGCCCTTAATCCCAGCACTCAAGAGGCAGAGGCATGTGGATTCCTGTGAGATTGAGGCCAACTTAGTGAGTTCGACCCTGTCTCAAAAAGGGGAGGACACTGGAGGGGTGGCTTAGCAGTTAAGAGTACTGACTGCCCTTGCAGAAGACCTGGGTTCGATACCCAGCACCCGCATAGTGACTAACAACCATCCGTAACTCAACGCCCTCCTCTGACCTCTGTAGGCATTGCACAACATGGGTGCACCTACATAAATGCAACAATACACTCATATACATAAAATAAAAATAATAAAAATAAAAAACTAAAATGAGGATAATGCTGTAGAGTAACAGCTGTAGTTATTATCTGAGCACTTATGATATCCCAGGTACTTTTCTAGAAATCTTCAAAACACTTATATTTGTACAACACCCCCATCTTACAAATAAAGAAATCAAAGTTTAAGGAGGCTAAACAGTTAAGTATTTTTAATAGAATTTTTGTGTATTTCGTGCAGAACATCCTCATCGTCTTTATACCCCCTTCCCCACTGACTCCCTCCCAGTGGAATTCATACATTCTGTCATTTGTGTTAAGGCCTATCATGTCAAGTTAGTATCCCCAGTGTCCCTCAGTGCAAGTTCATCCACTGGGGTCTAGGCAGCCTACCTAGAGTCTCCTTTACGAAGATCAGCTCTTTCTCGCCCAGCAGTGATCAGCTGCCCGTAGTTCCTCGGCTAAGGCTGGGGCCTGCTGTCCATTTCCACAGTTCTCTGCTGGGTTTTTGTCTCCTTGAGTTACCATGGGTTTTGTACATGCTGACACCATTACTGTAGGTTCTTATGAGAAGAGTCCCAGAAGCCTGTAGGACTCTATTTCTGTGTGTTCATGCACCTCCTCCCTGCTTCTTACAACACTTCTGCCCCCTCTTCTGCAATGGTCCCTGAGCCCTGGGTAGGAAGATTTTAACATAGGAGACCTGTCCAAGGATTCATACTCTGTAAATTTAAGGCTCCATATTTTGCACATAGTAAGAAATTACATTTGTCTAGGGAAGTGACATCCTTGGGGTCTTCTCTAAGATCTGTGGGAGGTTAAGTAATTTGTCTAAGGACAAATCATTGGTCATTTGTGAGCAGAAATTTCAACATCAGTCATCTTCATCTTAACCCAGAAGCCATTACTTTTCATTATAATAGGATTGTTTGGAGATGCTTTTTAAAGTATGTATCCTTCAAGGGCCAGCAAGATAGCTCAGCACATAAAGGCACTTGCTACCAAGTGTGACAACCTGAGTTCGATTCCCAAGACTCACGTAGTAGGAGAGAACCAATTTTCACAAGTTGTTCTCTGACCTCCACTCGTGTGCCATGGTATACACACACACACACACACACACACACACACACACACATACACACACACACACACAAAATAAGTAAATAGATAAATATATAGTATGTATACCTCAAGTCAGATGTAATGGCAGGTACCTATAATTGCAGCTACTCCAGAGGCCAAGGCAGGATGATCATAAGTTTGAAAGCAGCCTGGACTACCTAACAAGACTTCTATCCCCTCCACCCAAAATATAGACTTCAGCACAAAGTAGATGCTTAGTGGCTGTTGAATTTAAATCAGTAGAGATATGGCCAGTTTGTGCAGTCAACTATATTGTCCAGCACCTCTTTTCAAGCCAGCATCACACTGCTTAGCTAAAAGCTTCTAATGGGAACATTAGCTGTCAATTGTTTATGTAAACCATTACATTGGAAATGAAATGAACAACACATGGACACATTTGCTCGTTTGCTAATTAGTATGAGGCCTATCCTAAAAGATGTCAGGATGAGCCACCATTCCTAACCATAAACTGATCTGCTAGACCTTGGCTTTAAGAGCTATTTTCTGTCATCCAGTGAGACTGGTAACCTAATACCTATGCATGCTCCAGGGCAGTGTTGTCTGGAATGAAAGCATGGAGTCCTGATAGGGAGAATGGTCCAGACAAAGATGAGAGAATTTCCTGGGGTTGTGAGACCAGGCATGGCAAGGCAGTCTGACAGGGAGGCACTTAGCCAAACTGCTGCTGCGTGAAGGGTTGGAGCTTCCGTAGCAGAAGCTGTATAGGAGGCTGGGAGGCAGGTGGCCTTACAGCTGGAATGTTGCTTTCTGTTTACTGGATGCTTTTTAAATTTTCTGATGTGGTGAGCAGAGCCTAGAATTATGTTGATGATGCTCATTCTGTCTGGAGCCGTGTGTATTTTAAGCCATATTGGCCCTGTTTTTCTTTAGGGAAAGTTGGTAAAGCATACACGTTAGGAGCACGTGCTGCATAGTCAGGAAGACCTGGGTTTGAATTTCATCTCTAGTTAAAGATCTAGGTATGGAGTAGGTGTCTAGTCTTTAGCTGCATTTAGTTTATGATGAAGAGGCTGAAAATTCACTAAGAAAATTTATTTTTAACATTTTTTGCAATGCTTATTCAACATTCAACATTTGGTACTTTCCAATGCCTATTAGTTGACTAATTGAGCCATAAGCACTAAACATTGAATTAGTCAGATTGATTTGCACTTGGTTCCTTTGCACCTGGAAGTCTGACACCTTGCTTTGCACCTTTGGCTGGGAATGTTTTATAATTTAGGAGTTATATTTTTCAAATGAAAAGTAAGTTCCAATAATTTGATTCTGAGAGGTGGAGTCATCGCAATGAACAGACATGCAATGTGGAATTTTAAATGTATTAACTGAAAAGTAAATAATACTTAGAACAATTATACATTTAGTAAGTAACCTAACCGGGACATTAAGCAATCTCTGAAGACTCTCCCAGGACATGATAAGGCATAAAGTAAGGAGCAGCTCTCTATGCCTCTCAGCTGATGCTCAGAGTTCAAGCTCCAATAAGGTGTGGCCTATCATGGCAAGAGAAGCTCTTCTCTTCCTGTAATAAAGCATGACCCTGGAGCCTGAAATGAGCATCCCACTTAGGATCCTGAAAAATGACTCACAATCAGAGAAAAAAGGCTGAGAATTTTGCTCAGCTAAATGCCCTGCCTGAGAAGCTTGGTATCCACTTTGGCTGAGAGAATCTTATCTCCAGAATCTAGTTCAGTTTCCAGCTTAAATAAATCTGCTTTGAGCAAGTGACGTATGCTCTCTCTCATCTGTGGATTGTAGCACCAATCCCTTATATGTGGAGGCTACAGCAGAGTTGCACATCTGGTGAGGCACAGAGAACATATACCTGGGAGATGTCCAGTACTAGGTGACACATCTACAGTCGAATCTCTACAACTAAGGCTCATGGAACATAGCGAAATAAGGAGTAGAGGGAGGGCTAATGCACCCCTCAACTCTTACCAGTGAGTCTTCCTTGTACATCAGAGTAAGATGCACATAGAAGGCCACAGCTGGCCAAGTTCCAGAGAATAAGACACTGTAGAGTATAGGATGGAGCTCCTGTAGGGAAACTCACCCACTCACAGCTCAGGGACCATCATGGAAGAAGAGGTAGAAAGATTATAAGAGCCAGGGCTGGCTCATGAACACAGGGAGGTGGAGGCTTCCAGGCCACTGGAGGCTTGCTCATGTAAGCCTGTGGCAGCAGTAGCGTCAAGACCCATGTCAGCTCAATTAAACAAGGTCCCAAAGGGGAGGTGAGAAATAGATGGCAGGCCAGCACTAGATTGAGAAATATTTGAGACTGGTTGCTGCTGGGTGAGGGAGAGTATGACTTATATAAGACCACTGGATGGGCTGACTAGACTCCAGTGGACGCATTTATGCTGAAGGACATTTAGGTAGAAATACCTGAATGAATAGGACTCAGCACATATGGCAGAGTGCATAGGGTTTGGTGGGGGGATAGAGGGAGGCATGGATGGGGGAGGGGGTCTGGATTTGAGTGGGAAATGTATAAAATTTAAAAAGCTCAATAAAAAAGCACATAAACGTTTTCTCTAAACAAACACAAAAAAAAACTTACTAGTCGTATAATGTGTCTCTTTGAAAATTTATCTATTGTTTCAATAAAGTCTTATTTTTCTGGCTATGAATTTAAAAAAAAAAAAAGAAAGAAGAAAAAGAAATTTGCTTGAGTTTCAACTTTGAAACACTTTTTTTTTCCCCATCGACCACTGAAGGGGTTCAAGGTCTCCAGGAGAGACTAGAGCCCTTGTCCAAAATACCATCTTTCTAAGAAGAAGTAGCATGGGGAAATAGTTAAGAGAGAGATTTTGAGCTTCTCAGTGTGACTTCATCCCAACTGAACATGCCCATTGGGTCTTGTGGACACCAAAGAGAAGAGCCCATCAAAAGCAGCGGTCATTTAAAGAGAGAAGAGAGCCTTAAGTACTCTGTAAATGATAATCAAAACATGTAAGCCTGGTCTGAAGCCGTGGATCTGTGTTTGTTGCTCTACTATAAATTCAAAAGATGGCCACACACGTTAATTTTTTGCCTTCGAATGAAGCTTGAAAAGCCATGGAAGAAAGCACTGTCTGTGACTGCCCCAGACCAGCTCTTCAGCCGGCTGAGACTGCCAGTATGTAGATCAACTCCAGGAGTTGTTCCTCTGGACAAAACTGGATGGCATTATCAAAGCAGAAACTGTGATTTTTGTCAGCGTGGAAAACTTTGGCATTAAAGTATTGGCAATAACAGATGACAGGCTCTCAAACAGCATTCTACTGCCTAAGCATGTCTCACGTTTTCCACAAAGGGAATCAAGGGACACTAGTTCAGCACAAGCCACGGTCTCCCCAGAACAGGACTAAGAAAGGCTGTTTTGCTTCCTTGCTTGCCTATTTGTTTATGGGATGGTCCCGTGCAGCGGGGCAATTTTGGAGGTCAGAAAATTACTTGCAAGAGTTGGTTCTCTCCTTCTGCCATGTTAGTCCAGGTTGTCTGGCTTGTCCACAGGTGACTTTACCTGCTGAGCCATCTGATTGGCCATTTTTGGTGTCTGATCTTTGACTAATGTCCTAGGAACACTGTGTTCAAGCCCAAGATAAAAGCAGATGAGGAAGGACACAAGGTAGTTAACAGAATAAAAGGCTGAGAATCCAGGCATTATAAAGGGCAGGAGCAGAGGGCATTTGGTATCTAGCTACAGGCATTAACAGACATTCTCTTTAAGTGATGTCCAATGTCCAACACATGTTTGCAATCCTAACACTTGGGAGGCTAAGGTAAGAAGATAGAATCTGAAGCTAGCCCAGGTTATATGGTGAGTACTAGACCATCCAGGCTATCCTGGGCTGACACCTTGTCTCATAGAGAATCGTAAGGGAGGAAATGAGGGAGTCAGAGGGAGGAGGGAGAGAAGGAAAGAGGAAGTGAGAGAGACTGTCCCGTTTGATCAGGGGTGGGTAGATTGTTAATCCTACCAAGAAGTAGGAAATGTGGGAGAAATCCTAGCACTGAGGGCTTTTAGCTTTGGGTCTGGTCCACCACCGCAGCACTAACACTCTCACCTCTGATTGTCTTCTAGTCATCCAGGAAGTTCTTCCCCATCACGTTCTTTGGCTCCATCACTTGGATTGCAGTTTTCTCTTACCTGATGGTATGGTGGGCACACCAGGTAAGATTGGCAGTGACACCCAAATGCTTGCTTTGTGCCAAAGTGTTTGCCTTTCAAAATGATCACAACAATAGTTAGCATGTCACAGACAAATTTCAAGATTATGCTTTCCCTGCCCTATAGGCCTTTCCCTGGGGCCAGCCATCAGTCAGCCATGTGGAAGAGGGCAGTTCCAGCTACTTCTTGCCCTGTAGCCTAAGGCCAGGCCCAACCAGGGATGGTAAATAAACAAAGGTTCTGCCTGACTCCCATGCCTTTACTTTGTCTTGGACATGCCACTGAGCATGGCTGTCGCCAGCTGTGGGTACGTGTGAGCCCATGTGTACACCGGTGGTAGTCAGAGTAGGACTTCAGTGGTCTCCTTTACCACTCTCCACCTTATCCCCTTGACATAGAGTCTCTCACTGAACCTGCAGCTTGCCAGTTTTTAGTGAGGCTGGCATCCAGCAATCCCCAATGATCCTCCTACCCCTAACCTATCAGTACTGTGGTTACAGGTCTTTTTCACATGGGTGCTGGGAATCTGAACTCAGGTTTTCATGTTTGTTCAGCAAGTTCTCTTACCTACAGAGCCGTCTACCCAGTCTTTACCAGCCTTTTAACAATGGTTCTTAGGAAAGGGCCTAAAGATAAAGTGACTCTTGAGCTCCAATTTATAAATGTAATGATGAATGTTATTTTTGTCACTTAACTTAGTACCAGTCATAATGCCAATTACAAGATGTGATCTCACTACCTGCTGCTGAAAAACCCGAATGAAACAGTGAGATACAACGATCATAATGGTAATCATTACTCGGATCCTTTGAAGGAGATGCTTCCTACCACTATTTGCAATCTGCAGATAGAGGAATTCCAAAGTGCCCACTTATATCTTTTGTTTACGATAGTCCTAAAATTTTTGTGCTTGTTAACATAAAATACAGCAATTTGAAGAAAATATACACCAGGAACACATGTGGATAGACTCTTCAACAAATGATGCTAGAATGGATTTCCATATGCAAGAATGTATGAACTTCGATCCTCACTTTATACCTTGCTCAAAAATTAACTCAAAGTGGGCATAACTCTAAATACAAAAGCTGAAACTATCAAATTTTCAGAAGAAAGCACTGGCAACCTGCATGGCCCAGTTTGATCAGGGTACAGTCCCGTTCAAAAATCCTCAGAGACAGGCGCTCCAAACAAGCTTATGAAGACAGATTCTCCTTCAGCAGAGATGCTTCTAGAGTCACACAGACTCATTGGGATTTAATGCATATTGAAACCTCTCAGTTACTCATGTGGTTTTGTACATTGTGTGCTGACCCCAGTAAGCCAGCCTTTGTCCTTATTGCCAGACCACTCATCACTGTGGTCTGAGAATTTGTTCATTTAGCAAATAGGCACTTAGCGCCTACTGCACACACAGCTTCTTAAGCTGTTTCTACCTACGGCCCTTTGCCCAAGAAATGTTTACACGACCCCAGGTTTATAGGCATATAAAATAGGCATGCAAATCAAGCCTTTACTGATGATAAATAATGAAAAAATTTATTTTAAAACAACCCTTTGATGTGCATATAATTTGGGGGGCATCCTTTTTTTGAGACAGGGTCTCCCTGTAGCCCCAGCTGTTCTGGAACTCACTGTGTAGACCAGGCTGGCCTTGAACTCACAGAGATCCACCTCCCTCTGCCTCCCAAGTGCTGGGATTAAAGGCGTGCGCCACCATGCCCAGCTATGTGCATATAATTTTATTATTTGTTAAAAATGAAATCAAATTTGTATACTACTGAAATGGTTGTGCTAATTTGTACATGAAGAATTAAATCTGGGCAGAATATTTGATGCTACAGAATGTAGTTTTCAGAGTTAATGATTATTTTTATCTTATAATTGTCAATTCTGAGAACATTGCTTCACATAAATGTAGTATAAAATGGTATGTTTAGGGTCATTTCAAAAACTGTGAGAAATTCCTAATCCCAAGCTATAATTTATTTAACAATTTTTAATTTAGTTATGTATTGGGGTATCATATGCCACAACACAAGTATGGAGGTCAGAGGACAATTTGCAAAGTCAGTTCTCTCCTTCTATGACATGGGCTCCAGAGACCAAACTTAAGTCCTCAGGCTTGGTGAGAAATCTCTTTATCCATTAAGCCATTTCACCAGCCCCTCATTTAACAATTTCTTAAATAAAACTAAAGTCAGCAAATCCAATAGCAATTTTTTAATCTAGTATTCTAACACAATATAATCCAAAGATATATTAATTTGATATTTACTGAGTAATGGCAGTGGAAAATATTAAAATTGTTTGTTTTCCATAATAACACCATTATGTTTCTGTAAAAGCTGTGCTCAGGGTCTCTACAGCTCTTTATTGCTCTAAATTATTTAATCCTCCTTGCTGATTTCCTTGGTATGTTGGCCATGATTATGGCTTGTTCGTTTCTTATCATCTCAACGCTCGGCCCAGAATCAAGAATGACACCAAAAAGGAGTCGCATAGTAGTGAATGCGTGGTTCTTTGACTTCTACTAACACTCACATGTGCCCCTCTTGTGACACTCAGGTTGGAGAGACAATTGGCATTAGTGAAGAAATCATGGGTCTGACTATCTTAGCTGCTGGAACCTCCATCCCTGATCTTATCACCAGTGTCATAGTGGCACGGAAGGGGCTGGGGGATATGGCTGTGTCCAGCTCTGTTGGAAGCAATATCTTTGACATCACTGTGGGGTAAGTAGAGCGTTCTCCAAGCATGTACATCAGTCCCACCTCTGTCTGTGTTTCTCTAGAAGCTATTAAGATATGACCAGGGTCTCTGAACCCAAAACTCACCCAAGTGTCAACCAAAACTTAACACTGGGAGTCCCGATCCAATTCAGAAAATAGCTTTATTAGTTTCAGAAAACTTAATGAAAAATAAGTCATCCCTGGACCAGCAGAAACATGTATTACATGCATGCAATTCCCACCAAGGTACACACATTTTATCCATTTAAACCACACAATAGTCTTAGAGAATAGATATTCCATACCCATTTCTAACCATAAAAACTGAAGAGCACAGAGTTCACAGAACTAGTAAATGAGGAAACTGGGATTAAAAATCTTCTCTGAGGGCAAGCAAGTAAAAGCCTGTCTGGACATGTTGGTTATCAAGGTGCCCCTCCTGGGGCCTTCTGCCTTGCTGGCCTCTCACTGATGAACACGCTTGGTTTGTTTGTGGGAAACTGCCTTGTCCTGTCCATTCAAACCCGACTTTGATTCCCCAGAGCCCAGTTTTAGGGCTGTTGCTCTTACAGACTTTCTGCATATTGTATTAGCGTTATGATTACTTCTGCCTGCCAGCTGGTGAGCCCTTCAAGTATCCTCCTAATGAGCTCACTGAAGCCTAGCACGATGACTACTACATGGTAGGCCTGACAAGGGCATGTAGAATGAGTGAATGAAGGCCTTAACAGGTGCATGTTTTAAAAGAAGTTGTTCTAGTATAAACAGTGTTTGTTAGTCCTGCTGCAACCTGAGCAGGTTGAAAGAGGGAGGTAGAGGGAGAATGTTCTACAGTGCAAAAAGAGAAAATCCTGCTACAGTCTAAAAATTATGAGTGCTCAGACACAGTATCATGTTTTTCAAAAATACATATTCTAAAAAATTGCAAATGAAATGACAAATGAAAGAGCACTGGCTGCTCTTGCAGAAGACCTGAGTTCAGTTCCCAGCACCTACATGGAGGCTTCCAATTGTAACTCCAGTTCCAGGGAATCGAATTGCCCTCTTCTGGCCTCTGCAGGCATTGTACGCACATTGTGCACTTACATGCAGGCAAAACATTTATACTCATAAAAATATAAATAAATAAATATTTAAGAAGAAAAGTCTATTTTGACTCATTGTTTCAGGGGTGTCAGCCCATGGTCTCCTGTCCCTGTTACTTTGGGCTGTGGCAGCCTGGCAGAAGAGGCCTGTTAACACCTCACTGTGGCCAAACAGTGAAGAGTGCAACAGGAAGGGGACAGGGCCCCAAATTCACTTCAAGGTCAGGATCCTAATGACCTCATTTCCTGCTAATAGACTCTACCTCCTAAAAGTTTCACCACCTCCCAAGAGCTACAGACTGGACACCAAACCTTTAACACATCAGCCTTTGGGGAACATTCAAGATCCAAACTATAGTATATAGTTTAGTAAGAGTAAAGTGGTTTGGGATCTTTTCCTCTGGAAGATGTAGGATATGTAGAAAAAGAGTTTCCCAGACTAGCCCACATTGTGATTTTTTTTCCTATCACCACCGTTCTGAGGTAGTCCCTCCCATTTTCTGACTTTGCCTTGCTGAACCCAGATGTCAAGATGTCCCCTCCTGTTGAACACTGGAATTATACCTTGTTGCAGGCTCCTAAGAGAACCCCAACCCTGGAAAGGCCCACTGAGATGCTTACCCAGGTTCTAGTGGGAAAAGCGCCTGTGCAAACACTTGAACTTCGCCCAGGTTGGCAGGTGCTGACCCCTTAGGCCTGCATATATCTTATGCCCTATTTGCTTTTCCACTTGAGAACTTTGTGATTCAGAAGGGTGCCTCTTCTTCCACACTCCTGAGACAGACCAGAGGAAAACTGAACCCCTTAGCCATATAGAAGGTTCATGTCAACACAGCTGCCTCCAACCTGGATATTTCCAACCATTTCCCACCTAGTCAACCATTTGAGCCCTAGTCAACTCCTACTGTGTTCCTGACAGTTACCTTTCTTTCTTGGTGTATGTCATAATCATCACTCCCTGACTTTCTTATGTGGTTTCCCAAGCCAATCATGTCTCCTAGTGACTCTAAGGTGTCACCCTCTCAGGTGACAGATAGTCATCGTCAGATGCTCCTTCACTGTGCCTGGCTGCTCCCTGCTCCACCTCACCTGCCTGCCTCTCTTCCTCCCAGGCTCCCACTGCCCTGGCTGCTCTACACCATCATCCACAGATTCCAGCCAGTGGCTGTCAGCAGCAATGGCCTCTTCTGTGCCATTGTCCTTCTCTTCATCATGCTGCTCTTCGTCATCCTTTCCATCGCCCTCTGCAAATGGCGGATGAACAAAGTGCTGGGTTTCATCATGTTTGGCCTGTACTTCGTGTTCCTGGTGGTCAGTGTCCTCCTAGAAGACAGAGTTCTTGTGTGCCCTGTCTCCATCTAGTGGAAAAGCTGTATCTTCAACCAACAGCATGGAAGGTTCCTCCTGGCTCCAGGCTCCAGACTCCTTGCACTCTTGAGAAGAAGCAGCTTATGCACAGCCTTGAGAGCCAAGTATTCCTTCCTGGAGGGTTGGAAGAAGAATGGATTCTACGGGACCATTTACTTCCCAGGCACCTCACCCATGCCTGCTGAAATGACTCCATATAAGAGACAAAGAGAGTCATCTCTTCATCACCACTGACAAGTACTCCTCGCTGGTCGGAGGTACATTCATTGTAATGATGTAAACAAGGACAGAGGCTATATATACATATAAGTATACATATTATAAATATATACACATGAACATACAAATCCTGCCTGTTTTCCTGTACTATACCTCTCCTCCTATACGTATAGATTAATATATACCTGTACACAAACAGAAAGAAATATTATATATAAGCATATATATATCAATGCATATTTTCAGGGATCATTCTAGCATATTTATAGTATCTATTTGAAGAGGACATCAACCTTCCACCTTCACTGTGGGCTTTACCTCTCAAGTGCAAAAGGTGAATTAATGGCATCAGTAGACAAATGTAGCTTTGCTGTGATTTATCTTCAACTTACTTTGGACTTACTGAGTTTAAATAGTGAAATAGTTTGCAGAGAAGAGGGCTTAGCAGAGAGTCTACAGGAACCCCAAGTAGAACCTTCTAAAACACTCTTACAAGCTAAACAGAACACTTACCCGCCCAGACCCACTGGGTGCACTGACTGAGACTCATAGGGATCCTTAGGACAGACAGAGGTAAAACCCAGACTAGGTGGCAATTGATGAGGACCAAGTGAGAGCTGACAAGGGTTGGGTTGCTTTGATTTAGTTTTTCTTATATTGCCCAGCATGCAAATAGACAACATGACTGCAAACCAAATTAGTGCTTCTCTAGGACAGCAAAATTATATAAACTGAACCTATCTTGTTCCAACACATGGCCCATTATCATCAAAGGAATGAGGGCAATTTTAGCAGTGATTGTCATTCGACATACTTTGATGCTAAGGGCTCACATATAGTCCAGAGGCCTGCCAAGAGAGCCTAGATATGTACTGAGAAACACCATCCAGTAGAGGTGCTCAGCAGGACTTGCCACCTGATGGGAGCTTAAGGGCACAGCTCCTTAGACTATTTCTCAGTGCGGTCATAAAGGGCTTCAATGTCTAAGAATTATTCTCAATAAATCTAAACTAACTGATCAATACTGCTTACTTGAGGCAGCTCAGGTTTGTTTGCAGAGGCATTTACCCATTCGGTGCACCCCAGAACAATTTCCAAGTCCTGTGTCAAAGATTTAGTATACTGATGCAGCATCTGTGTCTCTCCTGCCATCATAACTCCATCTGTGATTGTAGTTTTTAGAGTATAGTGGAGAGTACGTTCCAGAGTTTCTTTACACTGGTTTTTATCCAGTCACCCCAATATTTTGATTGAATAGTTTTGCTCAGCTGTGTATCGGAACATCTCATTCATTGAGTGGCCCCAAATTCTGTTTGACACCTTGTGTGATTTCTCGGGGTCTATTTCAGTTAGACAATGAGACTAGCTAGAAAACTAAATTGAAAAATATACAGTAGCCTTTCATTTCCCTAATTCATGCTTCACTCCTTCAAATCAATTGCAAAAAAATGAATAGAGGAGGTCTCACCATCCTAAGCCTAACTGTGTCTAAGTTGGCACACACTTGCATGAAAAACATCACCATGTGCTTGTGTCCTGAGTCCTCTCTGTCACTATGCCTGCTATAACTATGCTGTGAACACACACCTCTTAAACACAGTGAGGCAGGGTGCAGAACTCTCAGCCGAGCAAAAGGCTCGCCTTTGTTCACCTCATAGCCTCACATCAAACTCAATATCCCTTCCACAAAACCCCAGCTCATTTTCAGAACATGGCAATAGCAGGTAGATCATCATCACTCTTCACTCAGACTTGAAAGGCACTTCAAGGTGGAGGTCCCCTGAGGACACACTAAATAAAGATGACTGCCACCTAGGAGGCTAGCTTTAAGTCTCCCCAACTGTGTAAAGTTGGGTTCTCAATAGTGAGAGAGAAATCCACATCCCATTCACCAAGCGTTGTACTTTGTGTTGAGGACAGCATTTGTGTGACAACCTCAGAAAGAGAACTTGTTTTGAAGTCTTGGGTTGTTTTCCCTGTGTATTGCTTGAGGGGTAGCATGGGTGATTGTTATACAAATTCTGTACTTCTGGTTATTTTACTGGTGAAAGGGGGTGTTTTTTTAGTCAACTACAAATGGACTATAAAATAGAAAGTTTGCAGAATGTGTGGTCCCTCCCTGTTACTACTATAGTACTTCTTCCCTTCCTCCAGGAAGCCAGGAAGCCCTTTACTCAGAGCTAGGAACTCTGCTTCAGAGGGCATGTTGTGGTCTGTAGTGAATAGTTGCTTTTAGAAGTCATTTCCAAGCCTCACCCTCATTATGAGCCCTGTCTCTGAATGGTCTCAGGCACCTCACACTGCTCTTTCTTGCTACCTTCACCGATGTGTCTGTGAGTGTGCTATGCAATGACCTAGAATCGTTCACATAATTATAAAACTGTTTTTCACATGCTGGTTTCAGAACAGGTCATTCTCAGAATCCCTTTGCTGCATGTCAGTGAACTCACGTGGACCTGATCTGCAAGTACACATACAATATCACATCATCACCCTTACAGCCAATCACATTTACAAATCCAAAGGAAAGAGCACCAAATTCAACAGAAAAGGAAAGCCATGCACACCAACCCAAGGGAACATAAAAAGGCCATTATGTTCTATGCACCTATACATACAAGCATACATGTATACATCCATATATTACAATCCCCAGAATACAGCCTTAAGGAAACAATCAGCCCTATCCGTACTGCTTTTCAGGAGACAAAAAAATATGCAACAGGAAGCAAAAAAATCAGATAGTCTCTTTGCTTCTCTGGAAGGTTATAAAATAATTTAAACCAAATTTTATCATTTGATCTAAAATAAAGGAGTTAAAGTCAAATGGATCCACTTACAGAAAACCATGCCAGTCTTGCCTATTGTCGCCTCTCCTACCTTCTCCTACAGCCCTCAGCAACCCCATGACGGGCTCATACTGAGGATTCTAAAGTAGAAACTCCTAGATTGCATCTGAGAATATTCATGACACATCCACCTGCCTTCTGAACCTGGCCAGTGTCTGATGAGCTGAAGCATGAGATTAATTGGCATTATTCAACTTCCCAGGACCTTAACACATCAGGCAGTAATACGTCAGCAGAACTCGAGAGCAGGGTTGTTTATCAACTGGGAAAATGCTGCAGAATGTCTGGAAGTCTTGTTTCAATTAGCAGGCGAGCCCAAGGGAGAGTTGATGGAAGACTAAAAATCATAAAAGCAGGGAAAGAGAAAGTAATTTACTTCTTAGGAGTCCTAAGAAAGCAAGTGTCACGTTGAAATATATATTATATACAGTGTTTTAAATGGTTATAAATATCAGTCTTTTTTGAAGCAATTACCAGAGTCTATACATATCCTAGATTTCTTTGAATATCTCTTGTCAAGAAGGCCTTGGCAAGAAAGGTACCCATGCCCTGCCTGATGTCTATCTGAGTTTAGCTCCTTGCCTCTGGATCTTTGTGATCCTTTTTAATCTCACAGCTTCATATTCTTTGGAATATATAGCAAACAAGAAAAGCAATAATGGAAACACAGCCAGCTCAGATCCAAAACATATTACTGCACTTTCGCAATACTTCTTTTATGTCACTGGGAGCTTTAGTTTGCACAGGCTGAGGTAGTCACCATCAGGACGGGAACTTTTGCAAAAGTCACAGATGTGCTCATATTTGATATGTTTAGAAACAGCTTGCCTTCGATGTAGACCTCCCAGTCAAAATGCCTACATGCCTTCCTCACACATGGGCAATCAGCCTCACTCCAAACCACCAGAGCTACACAGAAGTCTTTAATATTGCTAGTGCATGTTCTTAAGAAAGGACAAGGGAAAGCCACACACAGGACTCCAAATTCTGAGAGTCCAAATTGTCCTGCAAATTTAAGCAACCAGGCTCAAATTAGTGTACAGTGAGGGACTGCATGGAGTACCATGTTATCTAAGTCAACCGAAAGACCGATGCACTTGACCGGAAAGCATAAATAAGACATTTTTGAAAACTACTTAATACCTAAGTCTGAAAGAATGCTGTGGACAGGGCTTACACTCCCACAAAGGACTGAAATTCAAAAGGAGACTGTCTGCCAATCACTGTAGTACAAAGGCCAGCCCTCCTACAAAACTCAAAAGAGTGTCCCTGCTATAACTAAGGTCAACTCAGTGTCAGAAAAGTCCCCCAGGCCATGACTTCACCCATTCTTTTTGTCTTGTGACAGAAAGCAATTGCATATGGACACTTTTTTCTCTTTCTTCATGGTGGGGTTGGAAGCCATTATTGTGACCCTCTATGTTTCATCAACGTCTTTGATTTTTATTTCAATCTTCTTAAACCCTCTTAATTGTTACAGTTCTTCTTTGCTGAGCCTTTTTAAGTGCTTTATATTGCTCTTAAGTTATGGTACCTTATGACTAATGTCCAAGTACACAGGTCTGAACTGTGCTGAATTACAGCCTAGAACTTAGGGCCTCCCTTCCTTGCTACACACCCTCTGTGAATCTTGCCCTCTAAAACACCATGCTTCATCACTAATTCACATGTATCGTGTTCCCCATAGCTCTTTTCTAAGACGTGTGGGCACTGCCATTGCATCTCTCAGTTTGCCCAGTGCAAGTTGTAGAAGAGTCTGCCTGCTATGAGCGACTCTGCACTTGACTTTATTGAGTCTCCATCTGTTCATTTCTAACCCCACTTCCAGTTTTGAAGTCCAGTGCTTACACCCCTGCAAGGTTCTCACTACCAGCCTCCCCTGTTTACTAGCAGTAGGCAAGCTTAATGAGCATTTCCCTCCCCCTCCCCCTCCCCCCTTCCTTCCCC